AGGGAAGATGGAACCTGTCCCGAGGATCAAGACTCTGAAGTTCCATCCTTAACTGCTGTCTCTCATTCTTGCATTGATGCCCCATTCCACAAGCACGTGTTGCCCGCCCACTGCATGCCAGGTGTGGAGGATACGGCACACCTGGTGCTACCCCCATGGGGGCACTTGGAGGGCTGCCTAGGGGCAGTACCACTGACGTGAGTCTCCAGGGCAAGTGAGCAGTGGATGAGGCAAAGGCAGGAAGCTTTCCAGGCCCAAGGATCAGCTTGTGTGTAGGGAGGAAGGGAGAATGAAGGAGGGAAGAACAGGTTGGACTTGAACTGAAAGAGACCACTGGGGTGGAACACAGAAGTGACAGGGGAGAGGGCTTGAGATGAGGCCAAAGAATCACTGGGGGCTGGATTACACGGGGCCTATAGGTCATGGCAAGGACTGTGGGTGTTGCCATTCATTTGGCCAACATGTATTGGGCTCCTGCCTTGTGCTAGGCATGGAGGGGCATACGAAGCCACCAAGCCTTCCTTTGGGGTGCTTACACATAGCGTCAGGCTTTTGAACACATCACTAGGGTTTTTCTTTTTCTTTTTTTTTTTTATTTTTTGAAACAGAGTCTCGTTCTGTTGTCGTTCAGACTGGAGAGCAGTGGCACGATCTCCGCTCACTGCAACCTCCACCTCCTGGGTTCGAGCGATTCTTCTGCCTCAGCCCCCCAAGTAGCTGGGACTACAGGTGTGCGCCACCATGCCCAGCTAATTTTGTATTTTTATTTATTTATTTTTTGAGATGGAGTCTTGCACTGTCCCCCGGGCTGGAATACAGTGATGAGATCCCGGCTCACTGCAACCTCCGCCTCCCAGGTTCAAGTGATTCTCCTGCCTCAGCCTCCTGAGTAGCTAGGATTACAGGCACCTGTTACCATGCCCAGCTTATTTTTTGTATTTTTATTAGAGACAGGGTTTCACTGGGTTGGCCAGGCTGGTCTCGAACTCCTGACCTCGTGATCTGGCCGCCTTGGACTCCCAAAGTGCTGGGATGACAGGCGTGAGCCACCGTGCTCGGCCTCAGTGGCGTTTTCCTAAGTGCTGTGATAGAGGTGGGAACTGAAGACTGGGGAAGCACCGAGGGGAGGGGGCGCTGGTGTGCATGATAAGGCAGTGACATTGAGTTGGGTTTTGAAGGATGAGTAGGAGTTTGACGAGAGGGAGAGGAAAGGCATTCCTGGCAATGGGAACAGGATGAGCAAAGTCACAGAGGTATGAAAAAGCCCAGATGATCTGGGGAGACGCTGGCAGCTGGAGCCGCAGTGGGCAGTAGAAAGAGGACAGGCCAGAGGGTCAAGTTCACAGAAGGTATTAAGGCCCAAGCCAGAGTTGAGGTTTCACTCTGCAGGCAGTGAGGGGCTGGGCACCAGGTTTGAATGGGAGAGTCCCACCCACACTCTTAGGAAGAGCCCTCTGCTGATGTGTGCTGGTGGGGTTGGGTGACAGGTGAGGGCAGCATAGCTGCCACTGCCCGATGGAGTGTGGAAGTGACCAGGCCTGGGCTGTGGCAGGGGACTGGAGGAGGGAAGCCCTTTTGTGTGTTCCTGAAGGTGGGGGCTGCAGAGCCTGGCTGTCTCTATGCCCCCAGCCTGGGTTGGCCTGGTGCCTAGAGCAGGGACCTCTCATTATAGAGCCAACTTTGGGCTACCTGCTGCACCAACTTGGAAGACCAGAGGCCTTGTCCAGAAGATAAAAGATTCCAGCCAGCTGGGCCTATGGTCTGAATCCAAAGCAAACAGGAAGAGACCATGGTGGGCCAGGCAGGGCCTCTTTCTTTGTTTAGAAAAGGGACTAGTTCAGGCCGACTTGTGGGTCTTTCTGTTGCAAAGGTGGGAGGGGGCTGCAGGCTCAGTTAGGGACATATCAAAAGGCTGTTCAGGGGCAGGCATGGCACCCCAGTGCCAGCCTGGGGGGTGCTATAAAGATGGCCTTGCTTGGCAAATTCCACCCTGATGGGAGGAGCCTGGCAGCATGCACTGGGAGCCACTACTCCTTCTCTCACCACGCCCAAGCTGGAGCCCTTCCTGACACCTGATTTTGCACGAGTGCCCCTTGGGGTCATCACCCAAGCCTAATGGGGTGGCTGCTGGTCACTGCAGTAGGAAGTCCACCCTGGTCCCAGACCAAGGCCCCTTAGGGAAGTGCCAAAGGCTCAGAGCACCCTCAGTCTCAAAGGTGGGCACCCAGGACTCCCCCAAAGACCCTGTGCTCAGACTCAGCCTCCACACACCAGATGAGAGGTGGCAGGCATTTGTGTTTTGCTTATGCCTGATTGAATTAATCCACGTGTCCCTTCAATTCACACATTGCATTTATTTAACAAGCCTTCCTGCAAGCTCAGGGGTGGCAGGGGCAACAGACGAGTGAGGCCCTCAGGGAGCAGAGCTGAGGGAGCAGGAAGGCATGTGGGCCCTGGCATGCTTGGGCCTGACCTGCGTCCTGCCTGCCTGCCATGCTTGGAGAAGGGCTCAGAAGAGGCAAGCACTTCTCCTGGGGCAGGTGTAGGGTGAGGACAAGCTGGGAGACAGAGGCCAGAAAGACTTTGGTAAGGAGTTTCTCCTGGACTGACTCATTCATTCATTTACTCAGTTCTTCATGCATGTGCACATCCACTCAACATCTCAGTAATGAGGACCTACTGTGTGCCAGACACTGTGCTAAGTGCTGGTGAGGCCCTGCTGTCACGGGGCCTGCAGTCCAGGACTCAAGTTATCACCACACAGATCAAAGGGAAGACTGCACTGAGTTCTGGGGCTTTGCAGAACAGGTTTGTGGAGCTAATGGAGCTCACAGGAGCTTGACATGGTCAGGGAGGTCAGGGCAGCTTCCCTGCGGAAGACTTGTAGGATGGAAAGGAATTAACCAAGGCAATAGGGGAGAGAAGATCCAGGCAGAGGGAACAGATGTGCCAAGGCCCTGGAGCTTGATGATGGCCAGAGTGGCTAGGGCACTGCAACAGAGGGGAAGAGGCCAGGAAATGGGCAGGCTGATTGTACCCAGACTTGTGGGTTCCTTTAGAAGGTCTGGTCTGGACTCTACAAGGAGAAGGAAGGTTTTTTAGCAGTGGCATAAAATGATCCAATTTGTGTTGAGCAGGTTCAAGCAGGCCCAAATGGAGGCAGGGAGTCCATAAGGGCCCTGCTGTGTCCACATAAATGATGAGAATGGCTTTGACGGCCGGGCGCGGTGGCTCAAGCCTGTAATCCCAGCACTTTGGGAGGCCGAGACGGGCGGATCGCGAGGTCAGGAGATCAAGACCATCCTGGCTAACACGGTGAAACCCCGTCTCTACTGAAAAATACGAAAAACTAGCCGGGCGAGGTGGCGGGCGCCTGTAGTCCCAGCTACTCGGGAGGCTGAGGCAGGAGAATGGCGTGAACCCGGGAGGCGGAGCTTGCAGTGAGCTGAGATCCAGTCACTGCACTCCAGCCTGGGCGGCAGAGCGAGACTCCGTCTCAAAAAAAAAAAAAAAAAAAAAAAAAGAGAATGGCTTTGACAAGTGCATCTTGCGATGGGGGAATGTGGGTGAATTGGATGTGGAGTGAGGTCAGGCGGTGTCGAGGTCTGAGAAACTGGGCTGGTGGATGGGGAAAGTGGCAATGAACATAATTTTCCTGTAAGGTGTGTATTTTATTGAATATGGTAAGTAATATCTTCATTTCTACCAAGGATAGAAAGAAGATTGAGCTTTGGGTAAGAAAGAAGGGAATGATTTTTTTTTTTTTTTTTTTCTTTCGAGTCGGAGTCTCGCTCTGTCACCCAGGCTGGAGTGCAGTGGTGCGATCTCGGCTCACTGCAACCTCTGCCTCCTGGATTCAAGCAATTCTCTGCCTCGGCCTCCTGAGTAGCTAGGAATACAGGCGCTTGCCACCACGCCCAGCTAATTTTTTTGTATTTTTAGTAGAGATGGGGTTTCACCATGTTGGCCAGCCTGGTCTTGAACTCCTAACCTCGTGATCCACCCACCTCAGCCTCCCAAAGTGCTGGGATTACAGGCATGAGCCACCGCGCCCAGCCGGGAATGATTTTTAATCATTCTACTATTTGGTGTTTTTTTTTTGTTTTTTTTTTTGTTTCTTTTTTTTTTTGAGACGGAGTCTCGCTCTGCCGCCCAGGCTGGAGTGCAGTGGCCGGATCTCAGCTCACTGCAAGCTCCGCCTCCCGGGTTCATGCCATTCTCCTGCCTCAGCCTCCCGAGTAGCTGGGACTACAGGCGCCGCCACCTCGCCCGGCTACTTTTTTGTATTTTTTAAAGTAGAGACGGGGTTTCACCGTGTCAGCCAGGATGGTCTCGATCTCCTGACCTCGTGATCCGCCCGTCTTGGCCTCCCAAAGTGCTGGGATTACAGGCTTGAGCCACCGCGCCCGGCCTATTTGGTGTTTAATGTGTTTTCTCATTAAATCTGTTCAACAAACCTGAGAGGCAAATACTGTTATTTATTTATGAGGAGAGAGGTTCAGAAGGGTAAAGTTACCTGCTCAAGGTCACAGCTGGAAAGAGATGAAGCCTTCAGCAAAAAAGCAAAACAACTCATTTCATTTTATTCCATGAGCTGATAATGGAGGAAAAAGTATTTGGCAAGAAGGGGCAGGGAGGGGAACCTGGAGGAACTCCGTGCTCTTGAAGAATGAAAGGGAGGCTGGGACCTTGTCACTGAGGAGCTCCTGGCATCTTTCCAGAGATACAACCAAAGGGGTGACCCCAGTGTGTTCTTAATAGGAGCCAGGAACCCTTCTCTGTGCACCTCCCATCTCTCGCCTCTGGGAAGTCCTTCCCTGACTCTAACCTCAGTTCTGATGCTGTTTCCACCCTCTCAGCTCTCAAGCAGATCAATGCAATGCCACCTGGCCACTTGCTCTGCCTGCTGGGCCCTTAGCCGGCAGCCTGCCCTTCACCCCTCAGGCCTGATCCCAGGCTGCCTGCAGCCTGTAACCAGACACTGTTTGCTTCCAGCAGGCACCCCCAAGCCCAGCTCTACACACTGTTCCTGGATCTTCTCTCCCCAGGCAGAGTGTGCCCCTGCCCAGTCCAGTGACCTTCGCCTGTTGGAGCCCTGGTTAATTTTTGCCCAGTCTGCCTGTTGTGGGGCTCCTCCCCTTCAGGGATATAAGCCCAGCCTGGGGCTGCTCCGTTCTCCGCCTGGCCTGAGGCTCCCTGAGCCATCTCCCCACCATCACCATGGCCAAGGGCTTCTACATTTCCAAGTCCCTGGGCATCCTGGGGATCCTCCTGGGCGTGGCGGCCGTGTGCACGATCATCGCACTGTCAGTGGTGTACTCCCAGGAGAAGAACAAGAATGCCAAGAGCTCCCTCGAGGCCTCCACCACCCCGTCTGCCTCAGCCACCACCAGCAACCCCACCTTGGCCACCACTTTGGACCAAAGCATACTGTGGAACCGTTACCGCCTCCCCAACACGCTGAAACCCGATTCCTACCAGGTGACGCTGAGGCCATACCTCACCCCCGATGACAGGGGCCTATACATTTTTAAGGGCTCCAGTACCGTCCGTTTCACCTGCAAGGAGGCCACCGACGTCATCATCATCCACAGCAAAAAGCTCAACTACACCCTCAGCCAGGGGCACAGGGTGGTCCTGCGTGGAGTGGGAGGCTCCCAGCCCCCCGACATCGACAGAACCGAGCTGGTGGAGCCCACCGAGTACCTGGTGGTGCACCTCAGGGGCTCCCTGGTGAAGGACAGCCAATATGAGATGGACAGTGAGTTCGAGGGGGAGTTGGCAGATGACCTGGCAGGCTTCTACCGCAGCGAGTACATGGAGGGCGATGTCAAAAAGTGAGTGTCGGCTGGGCTACCTGGTGGGGTGGATCCGAGGTGCCGAGGCAAGGCTGGATTCTGAGGGCCAAGGAAGGACTTAACTTGCAGGCCTTTGAACCCTGTGGAGCCCGAGGCTGGCCCATTGCTTCACCTCCAGCTGCTGGCAGAGCAGCTGCCAACACACCAAACTGGGAGGGCTTCCCCACCCCTCACCAGGAAGCTGGGGATGAGGGACGGAGTGTCCCTTGAACAGGCAGGAAAACTGAGGCTCAGAGGAGAGAAACTCACCCAAGGTCTCTGAGAGCTTGCTGGCACCCCGAATCCAGAAGGAGCCCCCTTCTCCACCAGTCAGCTGTCCTGGCAGGGCTCCGGAGGCTCCTGGGGGAGGCGGGGGCAGGAGCAGGAGAAGGGGTTAGACTGGGGTAGCCTTCCATGTACCCCTTTCCCTGCATGCCTGGTAGCACCCTCAAAGCCGGCCCTGGCATAGCCTCTAACTTTCTGGTTGGGGCAGGGTGGTGGCCACAACGCAGATGCAGGCCGCAGACGCCCGGAAGTCCTTCCCATGCTTCGATGAACCAGCCATGAAGGCCGAGTTCAACATCACGCTTATCCACCCCAAGGACCTCACAGCCCTGTCCAACATGCTTCCCAAAGGTGAGTGGGTCCTGCCTGGGGCCACACGGCCAGGGGGCAGGCACGCTGGGGCTGGGGTGCGGGGCAGGAGGATGCATCTTCACACACTTGCATACTCCCTGCCCAGGTCCCAGCACCCCACTTCCAGAAGACCCCAACTGGAGTGTCACCGAGTTCCACACCACGCCCAAGATGTCCACATACTTGCTGGCCTTCATTGTCAGCGAGTTCACCTACGTGAACTCATCCAATGATGTCTTGGTATGAGGCTGGGCCCATCTCTCCTTCACCTGGGCTGGCCCTGGCTTGAGGGGTCTTCCTGTTCTCTTCATCCCTGTACCAGTTTCGGAATCGTTAGGCCAGGGTTTGAATCCCAGCTCTGAGTGATTTCGGGCAAGTGTCTTGTTCTTTGGTTCTCCATTTCTGCACCTGAAAAGTGAAAACAATGGTTTCTCCTCATGAAGGGAGTTCCTGACCCACCAGTACCAGACAGACGGTGGCTATGATGATTGGTGTTCTCCAAAGGCCCTTCTCTAGGACCCACAGCTTCCAGGCCCCCTTAGCGTTCCCCTCTGCTGACCAGGTCTCTAGGTTTAGCTTGATTGACCCCCAGCCCTGGCCCACTGGGGATCCCCCCAGCCCATTGGGCCCTGGGACCCAGCCCACCTGCCCCAGGATCAAACAGGGGCCCCTGGCCTGCTTCTTCCTCACACCTTGCAGATCCGGATCTGGGCCCGGCCCAGTGCCATTGCGGCGGGCCACGGCGATTATGCCCTGAACGTGACAGGCCCCATCCTTAACTTCTTTGCCGGTCATTATGACACACCCTACCCACTTCCAAAATCAGGTGAGTGGGGGTCCTCGAGGAGGGAGGCAGTGGTTGGAATTCTACTCCCAGAGGCCATCCTGCCAATGGCCTCGCCTCCCCAGACCAGATTGGCCTGCCTGACTTCAACGCCGGCGCCATGGAGAACTGGGGACTGGTGACCTACCGGGAGAACTCCCTGCTGTTCGACCCCCTGTCCTCCTCCAGCAGCAACAAGGAACGGGTGGTCACTGTGATTGCTCACGAGCTGGCCCACCAGGTAGACCCCCATCTCGGGGAGTGCAGAGAAGGAAATGGGGGCTCCAGGAGGAGATGGTGCAGGTCCAGGCTCCGTCCCAGGCTACTGAGAAGGAAGGAGGGTGCCGCCTGACAGGGCAGCAGGAAGGGGTCACGATGGGGTTGGTGAAGTCCCCACTGTGCCTGGCAGGTGGCCAGCCCTGGGGAGGGTAGTTCTGGGGACTCTCAGTGCCTGGCCTGGGCGTGGCTTGCCCAGCTGACCCCTCCCCCCGCAGTGGTTCGGGAACCTGGTGACCATAGAGTGGTGGAATGACCTGTGGCTGAACGAGGGCTTTGCCTCCTACGTGGAGTACCTGGGTGCTGACTATGCAGAGCCCACCTGGAACTTGGTGAGCAGCTGCCCTGGGGTCCAGTCGGGGGGTGTGGAGGGAGACCTGGGCCACCGCTACCAGGCCAGTGTCCTGATGGCCCTGGGGAATTTGCAGAAAGACCTCATGGTGCTGAACGAAGTGTACCGCGTGATGGCCGTGGATGCACTGGCCTCCTCCCACCCACTGTCCACTCCTGCCTCGGAGATCAACACGCCAGCCCAGATCAGTGAGCTGTTTGACTCCATCTCCTACAGCAAGGTGCAGCCCACTCCTCGTGGGACACAGGGAGGGAGGTGGGGACTTGGCCTGGAGGGGCCTCGCTGAAGCTGGGGTCTGGAGGCACAGGGTCCTGGTGGCTCAGCACAGCCTTCTGAGCACCCCCTCACCCCCTCCCCAGGGCGCCTCAGTCCTCAGGATGCTCTCCAGCTTCCTGTCCGAGGATGTATTCAAGCAGGGCCTGGCAGTGAGTACCGCACCCTGGGTCAGCCATGAGGGTGGGTCTCCTGCCCCTGGCCCTTGACCTGGGCTTCAGCCCACCACAGAGGGGGAACCTGGGGGGCTCCAGCTGTGCCCTCACTGTGCCCCGTCTTTCCACAGTCCTACCTCCACACCTTTGCCTACAAGAACACCATCTACCTGAACCTGTGGGACCACCTGCAGGAGGTCAGTAGCAGCCAGCCCCTCCACAGCCATCCTGTTGGGGTCTTGAGATGCTGAAGGTGCCTGGGGGCAACACGTGTACAAGAGAATGGGTCCAGCTGACCAGCCCTGCAGGGTGCATGGAGCCTCCATTGCTCCTCCCTATAGTGGGCACCAGGATGGCTCCTTGCAGGAGGTGTCTGAGTGAGGCCGTGGTCCAGGCCCTGGCCGGCATCTGACCTCAGACTACAGTGGGCTCCTTGTTGGGAGTTGTAGAGCCCCTTCCTGGTGGTGAGGAAACGGCCCTCACGGTTCCCGAGTCCAAACCCGCCTCTGCCTGGAACTCTGGAGCTGGGCATTCAATCTTCTCCCACTCCTGGCTCCCCTGTGCTCCCGCTGGCACCTTCCAGGCACGTCTCTGCACACAGCTCCACGCTCAGCAGGAACTCTGCCCTCTGCCCCTGTCCCGCCTGGAGTTCCTCTCCATCAGACCCCGCACAGCCCCTGTGTGTGGGGCAAACCCTCAGACTGCCTGCACCCTCCTGCCTTCCCCCAGAGGCTGCCGCTCCTCCGCCTCCCCCAGGGTTGGAGTCCACCTGCTCTCCATCCTGCCCCCATCATTTCTGCTCCCTGACAGCTGCCCCCCACCCCTTCCCTGAAGCCCTGCCCAATGCCAGCCTCTTCAGCCAGAGGACAGACATGTCCTCTCCTCACCGACAGCCCCTCCAGAGTTCCGGGCCCCAAATTCCCGTCCAGCTTCTCCCCCACTGTTGCTGCTGCACTTCCAGTCCAGGCCAGTCTCACTGGGGAAGCGAGACCCAGGATCTTGTCATCACAGAGTCACAGCTGGGGTCCAGGTCCCTGCTGGGCAATTTCCAATCCCCCAACCCCGAGATGCTGCTGACATGACACTGTCATTGCCTGGGTCTCCCCCACTACCTTCCTTGATCTGCCCCAACTTCCCCTCTGCATTCCCTCTGAAGCCAACCTCTCCTCCCTTCCCTCCTTCTCTCTCACTCTTCTTTCCTGAGCCCCTCGGCCCGCGGTCCCCAGCTGGTTCCTCCCCACATGCTCTTCTGCCCTCTGTGTGGCCCTGTTCTTAGGTGATTCCTTTCTTCAGTTATTAACAAATGATGTTGGCTTTCTGTTGTGATGACAAAGGCAATGCAGGTACATGATCGAAGATCCAAGCAGACAGCAACAGTGCCTAAGCCCCGCCCCACACCCCAGTACAAGTGCACCTCCCTCATGCGACCCCCAGGACCCCCTCCCCCGCCCCTGCCTGTGACACCCGAACACTGGCTTTCCCTCATCTCTTCTCTTTCTTGTCATCCTCCCAGTGTTGTTCAGGAAGAGCCATGGGCATCCTGGGCATCCCCTCCCTGACATACCCACCTCAGGGTGGACCACAGAATGGGGGGCCACATAGATTTGCTGGGAAGTTCTCCAGCTCGTCCAGCACCGAGCAGCCGAGGAGAGGCAGAGCTGAATGGGACCCTAGCTTCCGGCTCCCGGCCCAGTGCCCTTCCCAGGCCTCCCATACAAGTGGCCCCCTGGGGTCGAGGCGAGAATCTGCAGAGGATGCCCTGGATGGCAGGGACTGGAGGGTGGCAGCCCACTGATGGCCACGCCCTCTCGCTCCACCCACAGGCTGTGAACAACCGGTCCGTCCAACTCCCCACCACCGTGCACAACATCATGGATCGCTGGACCCTGCAGATGGGCTTCCCGGTCATCACGGTGGATACCAGCACGGGGACCCTTTCCCAGGAGCACTTCCTCCTTGACCCCGATTCCAATGTTACCCGCCCCTCAGAATTCAAGTGAGCAGATGGGGTCACTGAGGCATGGTCAGGTGGGTGGGGTAGAGGACGGTTACTAAGGGACCATAGTAGGACTGGCCTCCTGTGGTCCTAGCCCCAGCCACTGTAGACAAACCCTCCCTCCAGAGCCAGGAGATCAGGGGCACTCGGAGCCAGAGCTGGGCAGAAGCTGGGAGCCTGGACAGCTGCTTCTCACTGGCAGTGACCACACTGCCGTCTCTCATCACCTCTGGGTCTTTAATTGCAGTTACCTGTGGATTGTGCCTATCACATCCATCAGAGATGGCAGACAGCAGGAGGACTACTGGCTGATGAATGTAAGAGGTAATCCAGCCCTACCTTTGTGGGCAGCAGCCCCCACCCCATACTCCTAGCTCCTGGCCCATGTTCTAAGGGCTGTGATGGGCCATTCCATTACATTCAACAAGTGGAGTTGACTTCTTTGGTTCCAATCTCCACTTTGCTGCTGCCTCGCTGTGTGACTCTGGACAAGTTACCATCCCTCTCTGGTCTCTAGTTCTTCATCTATAAAATGAGGCTAAGAGCAAAACTCCATTGGTTATGTGAGGATTAAAGGAGAAAATCCTAGGCCGGGCACGGTGGCTCACGCCTATAATCCTAGCACTTTGGGAGGCTGAGGTGAGCAGATCACCTGGGGTTGGGAGTTCGAGACCAGACTGACCAACATTGGAGAAACCCCATCTCTACTAAAAATACAAAATTAGCTGGGTGTGGTGGCACATACCTGTAATCCCAGCTACTCGGGAGGCTGAGGCAGGAGAATTGCTTGAACCTGGGAGGTGGAGGTTGCAGTGAGCCAAGATCTCACCATTGCATTCCAGCCTGGGCAACAAGAGTGAAACTCTGTCTCAGAAAAAAAAAAAAAAAAAAGAGAATCCACATAAAATGCTTAAAGTAGTGCCTGGCACATGTTATGAGCAGCCCTACTCAGCCAGGCACTGAGGAAGCAAAGGGCATGACAAGTCATCCTCTGCCTTGGCCAAGGCTACAGATGAAGGAGGGCAAGAAGTTGGAGGCAATCTAGTGCTGTGCTGAGTGCTTTCAGAGTCTGTGGTTGGGGCGAGTGAGGTATGGGGACATGGAGCTGGGAATAAGGGAGATTCGAGTTCATGGAGAGGTCAGGGAGGGCTTCCCAGCGGAGATGAGCTGAGTCTTAGAGGAAGAATAGGAATCAGGCAGGCTAATGTGGCAGAGAAAAGAATTCCAGGCAGAGGAGATAGCAAGTGCCAGGGATAGAGGTAGGAGGGAGTGGGGGGACTGAGTGTGGCTAGGGCACAGGTGTGCGCAAGAGATAAAGCTGGTCCCCAAGAGCCCCAGGGTCTGCAGGAGACAGTGGATGGGGCAGGTGGGAAATGAGCAACCTATTGGCCCTGACCTCTGACTGCTGCAACAAAGTATGGGAGGAGCGAGGGAGGAGGGGGACCCACAGGGAGAAGGGGCACTAAGCCCCAGGAAGAGACAGCAGCACCGGGGGACTGGGTGAATGGGAGGGGAAGGGAGAGGAAGGGCTGCCTGTGGTTCCCACTTGGGTGACAGGTGTGATGGAGTGTGGAGGAGGGCAAGGAGGAGGAACAGCCTGGGTTGCTGAGTGTGAGCGGCCTGGCAGCTGGCCTGGCCGTGCACAGCCTGGGGAGGCAGGGTAGGTGCTGAGGTTTGGAGTGGCATGCCATCCTCATGGGCTTATGGTCTGTGAAGCCACTGGCAGCCCAGTTCTTCACCCCTTCTTTCCCCACCCTTAGCATCACCCCAGAAGCTTGAGGGTGAGGTGGTGCCAGGCTGCAGGGGCAGCTGCTCTTGCAAGAGGTCCAGGGGTCAGCCCATGGCCTCTGAGCAGCCCTGCCCAGGTCTCATCCCTCTCCGCAGCCCAGAACAATCTCTTCAGAACATCAGGCAATGAGTGGGTCCTGCTGAACCTCAATGTGACGGGCTATTACCGGGTGAACTACGACGAAGAGAACTGGAGGAAGATTCAGACTCAGCTGCAGACAGACCACTTGGTGGGTGTCTGCCACCCCTCGCCCTGCCCCCTGCCCCAGGACAGGCCCGAGACTGCAAGGCCTGCTACCCACAGCCAACCCATGGTCACATGCTCTGCTTCGCATTCTAGGCCATCCCTGTCATCAATCGGGCACAGATCATTAATGATGCCTTCAACCTGGCCAGGTGAGTGCTCTCGCCTTCCTGGCTCAGCTGCAGAAGCTCGTGACTTGAGCACGGAGTCTGCAATGAGGCCCCGCTCCTCCTGTTGCCCTTCCCGTATGCCAGGCGCTGTGCAGTGAGCGCCTGCGCTCCCTGGACGTCCCTCCCCGGGCCCCCACACACCCATTTCACAGATACAGAATGTGACACCTTGCCCAAAGTCACACAGTAGTTCATGACAGCCAGACAGAGGCTTGTCCAACTCCAAGGCCCTGCTCCACTCCACAGTACCGAGCTTTTTTGTTTTCGTTTTTGATTTTTATTCTTTCTTTTTGAGACGGAGTCTCGCTCTGTTGCCCAGGCTGGAGTACAGTGGCGCGATCTCAGCTCACTGCAGCCTCCACCTCCCAGGTTTAAGCCATTCTCTGCCTCAGCCTCCCAAATAGCTGGGATTACAGGCCTGCACCACCACACCCAGCTAATTTTTGTATTTTTAGTAGAGACGGAGTTTCACATCATGTTGGTCAGGCTGGTCTCGAACTCCTGACCTTGTGATACACCCGCCTCAGCTTCCCAAAGTGCTGGGATTACAGGCATGAGCCATTGTACCCGGCCATGCCCCCCCACCCCCCTTTTTTTTTTTTTGAGATGGAGTCTTGCTCTGTCACCCAGGCTGGAGTGCAGTGGCATGATCTTGGCTCACTACAACCTCCACCTCCTGGGTTCAAGCAATTCTCCCTTCTCAGCCTCCTGAGTAGCTGGAATTAAAGGCATGTGCCACCATGCCCGGCTAATTTTTGCATTTTTAGTAGAGATGGGGTTTCACCATGTTGACCAGGCTGGTCTCAAACTCCTGGCCTCAGGTGATCCACCCACCTTGGCATCCCAAAGGGCTGGGATTATAGGTGTGAGCCACCGTGCCCGGCTGCACCAAGCTTTTCCTGAAGGCTGACTGTGCCAAGCCACTGTTCTAGGTGCCAAAAATCTGGGCTTTACAGGGTAAGAGGGATGCATCATGGATAAACAGGTACTTATTGAGCACCTACTCTGCTTGGGGTGAGATACTCTAAGCTCTTGGACATGAGTGATGTCACCCATAGACAAGGACATTTGTGAGCTAAATGTGTACAGAAGGCAGAGGGAAGAGGAGAAAGAAAGGCCTAGAGTGCCCAGAAAGTAAGAAGAGATGGGCAGAGTTAAGAACACGGGTTTCTTGCCCTTTTGAATCTCAGCTCTGTCTCTCGTGAGGTGTGTGACCTTGGGTAAGTCAGTTCACTTCTCTGAGCCTCAGTTTCCTCATCTGTAAAATGGGGATAATAAGCAAGGGAGGAGGACTGGCAATGGGTGAGGATGGGGCCTTGTTTGTGGCACCACCCAGCAGCCATGTAGCTCCTTTTCCATGGCAAATGCCTGAGCTGGTTCAGTTGGGAATCTGGGACCTCAGGTTCCAGGAGCAGATACAGGGGACCTAGGGGTGTGGAGCATCTTTGAGGGCCTGGCCTGGGGTTCCTAGTCTGTGGCTGGGCTGGGTAGGGGTGCTTTACTTGGGCCCCTCTGTTTATTCCCAGTGCCCGTAAGGTCCCTGTCACTCTGGCGCTGACCAACACCCTCTTCCTGATTGAAGAGACAGAGTACATGCCCTGGGAGGCCGCCCTGAGCAGCCTGAGCTACTTCAAGCTCATGTTCGACCGCTCCGAGGTCTATGGCCCCATGAAGGTATGGAGGTGCATGGCAGGGTTCAAGAACCAGTTCTCCCCAGTGCCTGAAAGTGCACTATTAGGAAGTTAATAGACTATTGCTTATTGGGCTCCTGGTCAGGGAACCTTCAAAAGCAAAACAAAAAACCAAAACAAAAAAAAAAGGAAGATTGCTTTGTCAGGTTCTCTCCTGAGAGCACAGAGGTGAAAGAGTGAGATGGATGGACATCAAGGTGAGTAAGCAGGCACTGAGGAGGTGAGGAGGCTGTGTGGGGCAAAAAAATAAAGGTCGTGGAGAATTCAGCAAAGTTTGTTGACTTGAAATATGGAGAATTAATGCTTTCAGAAGGCACAGAAAAGGCCACCATGCTGAGGGCCAGAAGACCTATCTTTTGCCAGCTGTGTGGCCTTGGGCAGCCCTTTCTCAGGCCCAGTTAACTCCTCTGTAAGATGGGCAGGCCTCTACCTGCCCGGCCAGCCCACTTGCGCTATGAGGGAGATGTGGGTATTGGCTGCTTTGGAGTATTTTAATGCTGAGCATAGGGGCCTATTTGAGGGTTGAGGCAACCACTTGGGAGACCAAAAGGAAACTCAAGCTTATTCTGGATGAATAAGCTACACCCATAGGATGCTCACTGCAGCAGTTTATAAAAGACAAAAAGCAAACAAAACACAAATACTTAAATGTCTAAAGGTTGAAGATTGGTTAAACTGTAGAATATTCATTTGAGGGTGTAATATGCAGCCATTAAATCATGCTTGAAGAGATCTTTTTTCATTAAAAAATGTTCAATTATTGGGCCGGGCACAGTGGCTCACAACTGTAATCCTAGCACTTTGGGAGGCTGAGGCAGGTGGATCATGAGGTCAGGAGATCAAGACCATCCTGGCTAACATGGTGAAACCTCATCTCTACTAAAAATACAAAAAATTAGCCGGGCGTGGTGGCGGGCACCTGTAGTCTCAGCTACTCTGAAGGCTGAGGCAGGAGAATGGCATGAACCTGGGAGGCGGAGCTTGCAGTGAGCCAAGATGGTGCTACTGCACTCCAGCCTGGGTGACAGAGCAAGATTCCATCTCAAAAAAAAAAAAAAAAAAAAAGTTCAATTATCTTTTAATTAATATCCATTATGGTAAATGAGATATTTTGGTAAATGAAGTTTCAACCCTCTTACTTGCCTTCCCCACATTCCCCCATCCTCCTAATGTAGTTAAATCATAATATTTAGTCAAATCAGTGTTAAGCATTTGCTTTATTGTGATTATCTAAATAGCATTCTCTGCTGAGCCGTGTAGAGTACTATGTTTATGTTTCCTTTTTTGTACACAGTTACAAATGTATCACACAATAGGTCAAGTTTTTGTTTGTTTGTTTGTTTAGAGACAAGGTCTCACTCTCTTGCCCAAGCTGGAGTGCAGCAGTGCAATCACGCTTCACTGCATCCTCAAATACCTAGGCTCAAGGGAGCCTCCTGCCTCAGTTTCTCCAGTAGCTGGGACCTCAGATGTGTACCACCATGCCCAGCTATTTTTAAAATTTTTAATTTTTTTGTAGAGATGGGATCTTTCTGTATTGGCCAGGATGGTCTGGAACACCTGGCTTCAAGCAGTCCTCCCTCCTTGGCCTCCCAAAGTGTTAGGATTACAGGCATGAGCCACCGTGCCCAGCCCAGTTTTGAAACTGAACTCCTCTTGGAGTCCTATTCTGCCTGCTCTCTTCCAGAGCTGCCACACAGCTCCCATGCTTGGAGGTGCCTCCCTCTACTGTGTTTTCTGCATCCCACAGATTCTTTCTTGATTTTTTTTCCTCTTATAGGGGAGTACATCTTCCAGGAGTTTTTGAGAAAGGGTTCATGAGAGGTGGCTTTTCTGGGGTAGATCATCTGAAATGTCTTTACTCCACTTTCACACAGGATTGAGCGTTCAGCTGAGTTTAGAAGTTTCAAGATGGGAAATCATTCCTCTGAATGTTTAAGGTCTTGCTCCACTGACATCAGGCTTGTCATGTTGCTGATGAGATGCCCAGAGCCATTCTTATTTCCAGTGATTTGAATGTGACTAGTTTTCCTCCCTTCTGGAAACTTTGGGAGCATCTCTCAGTCCTGGTGGGCCTTGGTTTGGGCCTCTTCTCCATCTACATTTTCCAATCAGGACTGGCATTCACATCATCTAGTATTGGAAGATTTTGTATTGTTTCTTTAAACTTTATTCCCCTCCTTTTTTCCAGTTATCTCTTTCTGGAACCCTTGTAAATCCAGCTTATTTATCTTGCTTTCATCCCCTAGTTTTCTTTCTCTCTTCTGTTTTCCAGCTTGTTGACTTTTTGTTCTGCCCCCTGGGAGGTTCCCTCAGCTTTGTACACCACCTCACCTAGAAATTGTTTTCATTTCTTCTGTCATATTTTTAAATTTCCAAGTGCTCTTTCTGATTCCAGCATCCTATGAAATATCTTCTCTTCACTCTCGGAGGATATTTATTACAGGCTCTTATGAAGTTTTCTTTTTTTTTTTTTTTTTTCCATTGACTCGTTTCCTCTTGAGTTTTGTGTTTGTTTTGGCCTCTTTTCAAGTTGGAGGCTGAGCCACCCCTTTGGATTTGAGAGGAATACAAACAAAATGTGACTGGAAGCTCCATGAGAAGGTGGAGTGTGTTGTCTGCAGGATCTCATTGTGAGGTGACTGGGTGGCCAAGTAACTCTTCACTGGGGACCCTCAAAAATTAGTGTCCATGGGTTTGTTCTCTGGAGACCATGCAGTTTTTCCAGAGAGTGAGCTTCTGTCTTGTGCAATGAGGCTGGTAGCACTCCCATTCTGGGACACAGGAGGGAGGGGAATTGGGGTGCCGCCTTTCAGTATAGAAACTTTCACCTCTGACCCTCTTTGCAATCCAGCAACCCTCCCACTGTGGCCTGGTGACCCCACTTCCTGAGCCTCCTGGTTCACTCTCTCTCATGGGGGTGGTGAGGGGTACTGCCCTCTACAAGGAGGGAAGTGGGGACTTGGGGGTTGAATGACTCCTTCTGTAGACTTTGACTTCATCTTCCTGTTTGCAGTCTTCACCTCCCCTCTGTCCCTTGCTGACTTGTCCCTTTAATTTTTATTTATTTATTTATTTATTTATTTATTTATTTATTTATTTTTGAGACAGAATCCTGCTGTCACCCAGGCTGGAGTGCAGTGGCCCGATCTTGGCTCACTTCATCCTCCACCTCCCGGATTCAAGCAATTCTCCTGCCTCAGCCTCCTGAGTAGCTGAGATTACAGATGCCTGCCACCACGCCTGGCTAATTTTTATATTTTTAGTAGCTTTGGGGTTTCACCATGTTGGCCAGGCTGGGCTCAAACTCCTGACCTCGGGTGATTCGCCCGCCTCAGCCTCCCAAAGTGCTGGGATTACAGGCATGTGCCACCATGCCTGGCCTTGTCCCTTTCTGAGTCTTGTCACAGCAAGTTCCTTTGCTTCTGTCTCCCCTTTTGCAGATTCTCAGTTGCAAATTCTCCCACTCTGCCAAGCCTGGTACATCTCCCTTTCTGCGCATCCCAGCTGCCTAAACTATGTTGACCTTGCATCTGCTATTGCCTCTGCTGTTCTTTGTTATTGGGGGTTTATTCCTCTTACATTTGGATGTGGATCCAGGTGGGCACAGAAATCAACCCGCATGTCAAACCAGAGTCCACAAAGGATTGTACTAGCATGGGGTGGGGCTTACACTACAATGTTAGGAGAAAAAAGCCATGTGCAGAATATGCTAAGTAACAAAGAAAAAAGTATAGAAAAAAGAAGGTGTAAATGCACCAATGTTGAAACTATAGTTTTGGTGAGCTCCTGGGTGTGTTTTATTTTCTGCATATGCTTCTCTGTGTTTTCTAAATTCCCCACTATAAGTCATGGAATTTGTTTTTTTTGTTTTTTTTGTTTTTTTTTGTTTTGAGATGGAGTCGTGCTGTGTCACCTAGGTTGGAGTACAGTGGTGCGATTACAGCTCACTGTAACCTCCGCCTCCTGGGTTTAAGCGATTCTCCTGCCTCGGCCTCCCAAGTAGCTGGGATTACAGGTGTGTACCACCACGCCAGGCTAATTTTTTTGTATTTTTAGTAGAAATGGGGTTTCACCATGTTACCCAGGCTGGTCTCGAACTCCTGGACTCAGGTGATCCACCCGCCTCAGCCTCTCAAAGTGCTGGGATTACAAGTGTGAGCCACTGCGCCTGGCAAATCATGGAATATTTATGATTGTGAAGGGAAAACCCAACATTTTATATTAAGAAATGGTTACCCTTAGACAAAGAATATTGGAACTGACTAAGGCTTTAAGCAGAAAGAAACTCAGCTCAGTTATTTGAACTCTGGACTTCTATGGGCCCCTTTGAGCACTGTTTGGCCTCAGGTGAGGCCCTGACCTCTGACCTTTCTGCCAGTGCCTGCCTCCCAACATCAGAGGCTCCATGGGGCTCCAGGCAGGTCAGGCATGAGTCTTTGATGCGATTCATGTTTTCTTTTCCCCAGAACTACCTGAAGAAGCAGGTCACACCCCTCTTCATTCACTTCAGAAATAACACCAACAACTGGAGGGAGATCCCAGAAAACCTGATGGACCAGTGAGTGGGAGCTCTCATGGGTTTGGAGGTCCTGGGCATCCCAGAGAGTCAAGAGCAACATCCTGGCAGTGTTCTTTGCCGCAGCTTTCAATGCGGGGGCACCAGGCAGGGAGAGGCCCCCACCCAGGAGCAGGGAGGCCCTGCCCTGAGGCTCCATGTGGCCTGTGGGCCCATCGGACCTCTTTATACAAAGACCCAAACTGAAACTCTGAGCTCATCCCACTGGCTTGAAGTTATATGGTTTGCAGATGTTGAAACTGGGGCTAGAGCCTGTTCCTGCCCTTTTGGGTCTCTGGGCTGCTTTGGGGACCAAGGAACCTCAGGCCCAAGGCACAAAACACATACCGGGGGCCCAGAGGGCCAGTTAGGCCACAGAGCCTTAGGCAGGGTGCCGTCCTGGGATTGTGTGTCAAGAGGTGAATCTTGGCTGGAGGTGGCCAGGTGTGCTAACCGCGTGTCACCCCTGGGGCAGGTACAACGAGATTAACGCCATCAGCACTGCCTGCTCCAATGGAGTTCCAGAGTGTGAGGAGATGGTCTCTGGCCTTTTCAAGCAGTGGATGGAGAACCCCAATAATAACCCGTGAGTGTCTCCCCTGTGCCTCCTCTGCCAGTCTTCATCTGCCCCCCACAGCCCTGCCCTCAGGAGACCCCTGTCCCACCCTCCCTGCTGCTGCTCCACATCTGACCTCCCTACGCCACGCCAGGATCCACCCCAACCTGCGGTCCACCGTCTACTGCAACGCTATTGCCCAGGGTGGTGAGAAGGAGTGGGACTTCGCCTGGGAGCAGTTCCGAAATGCCACACTGGTCAATGAGGCCGACAAGCTTCGGGCAGCCCTGGCCTGCAGCAACGAGGTGTGGATCCTGAACAGGTGAGTCCTGGGGCAAGGTGGGAATGCGAGAGCCCCCTCCCCACCTGGAGAACCAGGCAGGTCTCCACACTCCTTGCCAGATCCTTCACGTGACCCTCACAGACCTGTTAAGGTGGAGGCAGTATTTCCAGAGCAACTGGTGCAGACCAGAAGCTTTAATAAGTGATAGAGACGAGATCCGGACTCAGGTCTGGGTCCATGTCCTCTGCTCCTAGCTGCTGTGGCCTCTTAGCCTTTACCTAACAACAACTCGTGTCCCTTCTGTCAAAGGCTCTGGCATAGCTGGACTTGGGTCCTTTCAAACGTCCAGCTGGGCACTCCCTCAAGCCCTTGGATGAGGGTCCCCACCTCCCACCATGTGCCTCAAATGCCATCACCTGGATGCAGTAAAGAAGAGCCACCCTTGGGCAGGGTGCAGTAGCTCACACCTGTAATCCCAGCACTTTGGGAGGCCGAGGTGGATGGATCACCTGAGGTCAGGAGTTCGAGACCAGCTTGGCCAACATGGAGAAACCCTATCTCTACTAAAAATACAAAAATTAGCTGGGCGTGGTGGCACATGTCTGTAATCCCAGCTACCCGGGAGGCAGGATAATCAGTTGAACCCCGCAGGCGAAGGTTGCAGTGAGCCCAAATCGCTTCACTGCACTCCAGCCTGGGCGACAGAGTGAGACTCCATCAAGCAAGCAAGAGAAAGAGAGAGAGAGGAAAGAAAAGAAAGAAAGAAAGAAAGAAAGACGGAAGGAAGGAAGGAAGGAAGGAAGGAGAGATTAAAACTTGAAAGCTTCAAAATTTTTAAAAAATGCAAAAAGAAATATTGTAAATAAGTTTAAGAAGCCTGCTTTGAGCCCTGGTTGTCTCTTTATCCCCATCAAAACCCCCATGGAAAGTTCCCCAAAGGACTCATTTTCTTCTCAAATGAATAATTTTTTTTTCTTATTCCTTTCAGCTGCTTTTGAAAATAAAGGATTTATTTAAAATAATTGATTCATTTTTGAGACTGCAAAATGCTTACGTTTAGACACTCATTCAACAGAATTGATGTACTTTCCCCAACTTATTTTTCAAAAATGATGAGTTTTGATTCTTTTTTTTTTTTTTTGAGGCGGAGTCTCACCCTGTCGCCAGGCTGGGGTTCAGTGGTGCAATCTCAGCTCACTGCAAACTCTGCCTCCTGGGTTCAAGTGATACTCCACCCTTAGCCTCCTGGGAATACAGGAGCATGCGACCGCGCCTAGCTAATTTTTTGTATTTTTAGTAGAGACGGGATTTCACCATGTTGGCCATGGTGGTCTCGATCACTTGACCTCGTGATCTGCCTGCCTCAGCCTCCCAAAGTGCTGGGATTACAGGTGTGAGCCACCACACCCAGCCTTGATTCATTTTAATAGCCATTTCACCTTTACTCTGTTACTTTATATTCTATTATAAAATCTTTCAAGATGAAAGGCCTGAAGCCACAAAAAACATTTATCATTAAAAACTGGAAATCATAGCATACATCCTATTGATCCAGTTGATTTTCAAAAGTTGTGCTCTTTATGAAATTAGCAGTAGCTGACTCAGCATCTGGCCCTCTTAGGTACCTGAGCTACACCCTGAACCCCGACTTAATCCGGAAGCAGGATGCCACCTCTACCATCATCAGCATTACCAACAACGTCATCGGGCAAAGTTTGGTCTGGGACTTTGTCCAGAGCAATTGGAAGAAGCTCTTTAATGAGTGAGTCTGTGGAGTGGGTGTCAGGCACAGCGAGCGCTGAGGCTGGGGCCCCAAGGGGTGGTCTCTGCACGTAAGACACGCCGGGGGCACTGCCCAGGAGTGGACAAAAATCAGCCAAGCGTGGGGGCAGGAATGGAAAGACAAGCTGGGGTACGGGCCGTCCCTTTTCCCATTTGGAAGGAAAAAGAGAGGGGAGTGAGGAACTCGGCAGTCAGAGCTGTGTTCAAGCTGTGACTCCCCCATGTCCTAGTGGGGTCTTCCAGGGCATATCATTTCATCTCCTCTATAATCATGGCTCCCTCTCCAGTAGGTGTGAGGATGAGCCTCCTTAGTTCCCGGCCTCCCTCACAGTTCACCTCTCTCCCTCCTTGCAGTTATGGTGGTGGCTCGTTCTCCTTCTCCAACCTCATCCAGGCAGTGACACGACGATTCTCCACCGAGTATGAGCTGCAGCAGGTAAGAAGTCATTCCCCAGCCCTGGGCTCTGCCTACTTCCTTCGCAGGCCAAAGGGCACTGCATTCTTCCCCGACTGTGGCCCTGAGGGAGCACAGGCTCCACGCCGCCAGGCCTTCCTCATTTACAGAGGAAGCCGAGTAGCCAGACTTTGGAAGTGTTGATAATTCAATTTAAAAAAAATTCATCTTGGGATTTTCGTATAGGCACAAAAGGAAAGAGTGGTATAAGGAACCTCCGTGTACCCATTACCCAGGTTCAACAATTATCAACATTTTGCCAGTACTCTTTCTGGGTGGGCAATTTTAAAGCAAATCACTGACACTATATAATTTTACTTCTAAATAATTTAGTCTTATGAAAAATAAAGGCATTCTTTTTTTTTTTTTTTTTTGAGACTGAGTCTCACTCTGTCATGCAGGCTGGAGTGGTGCAGTGGTGCGATCTCTGCTCACTGCAACCTCCGCCTCCGAGGTTCAATTAATTCTCCTGCCTCAGCTTCCCGAGTAGCTGGGATTACAAGCATGTGCCACCACATCTGGCTATTTTTTGTATTTTCAGTAGAGACGGGGTTTCACCATGTTGGCCAGGCTGGTCTTGAACTCCTGACCTCAAGTGATCCACCCACCTCAGCCTCCCAGAGTGCTGAGATTACAGGCATGAGCCACTGCACCCAGCAATAAAGGCATTCTTAAAACATAATCACACTGTCCTTAGCAAACCCAGGAAAATAACTATCTTCTTACTATCATCTTATACCCAAGCCATATTCAATTTTCTGAGTTGTTTATAAAAGGTCTTTTTACAATTGATATATATGTTTGAATTAGAAGCTTGACAAACTCAACTTGGATTTAGTTTGTCTTTTTTAAAAATTGAGATGTAATTCACTGGGCATGGTGGCTCACGCCTGTAGTCCCAGCACTTTGGGAGGCTAAGGTGGGTGGATCATCTGAGGTCAGGAGTTCCAGACCAGCTTGGCCAACATGGTGAAACCCCGTCTGTACTAAAAATACAAAAATGAGCTGGGTGTGGTGGGGGAGTCCCTGTAGTCCCAGCTACTTGGGAGGCTATGGCAGAAGAATTGCCTGAACCCAGGAGGCAGAGGTTGCAGTGAACCAAGATTGAGCCACTGCACTCCAACCTCAGTGACAGAGTGAGACGCTGTCTCAAAAAAAAAAAAAAATTGATATATAATTAATGAACCATCAAACTCACCATTTTAAGTGGTTTTCAGTGTACTAACAAGGTGGGGTGGGTGGGGTGCTTCATGACTGTAATCCCAGCACTTTGGGAGACCAGTGCAGGAGGATCCCTTGAACCCAGGAGTTTGAGACCAGCCTGGGCAATCTCGTAAGACCTCATCTCTAAATAAATAAATAAATAAATAAATAAATAAATAAATAAATAGATACAAAAGTTAGCTGGGCATGGTGGTGCATACCTGCAGTCCTAGCTACTCGGGAGACTGAGGTGAGAGGATCGCTTGAAGCAGGAAGGCAGAGGTTGCAGTGAGCCGAGATGGTGCCACTGCATTCCAGCCTGGGCGACAGAGCAAGACCCTGTCTCAAAAAACCAAAACCAACCAACCAAACAAACAAACAAAAAAATACGTGGTACAACCATCACTACTGTCTAATTCCAGAACATTTTCATTACACCAAAAAGAAACCTCATACTCATTAGCAGTCACTCCTCATTCCTACCTGGTCCCCTCAGCCCCTGGCAACCACTAATATACTTTCTGTCTCTATGGATTTATTACCTATTCTGGATGTTTCATAAAATGGAATCATAGATACATGACCTTTTTGTGTCTGTCTGCCTTCTTTCACTTAGTATAATGTTTTCCTTTTTTTTTTTTTTTTTTTTTTTTTGAGACGGAGTCTCGCTCTGTCGCCCAGGCTGGAGTGCAGTGGCCGGATCTCAGCTCACTGCAAGCTCTGCCTCCCGGGTTTACGCCATTCTCCTGCCTCAGCCTCCCGAGTAGCTGGGACTACAGGCACCCGCCACCACGTCACCCAGCTAGTTTTTTGTATTTTTTAGTAGAGACAGGGTTTCACCGTGTTAGCCAGGATGGTCTTGATCTCCTGACCTCGTGATCCGCCCGTCTCGGCCTCCCAAAGTGCTGGGATTACAGGCTTGAGCCACCGCGCCCGGCAATTTATCTTGGGTATACACCTCGGAGAAGAATTGCTGGGTCATTTGGTTACTCTGTGTTTAAACTTTTTGAGAAACTGACAAAATGTTTTCCAAAGCAAGGGTACCATTGTCCATTACTATTAGCAATGTATCATATGAGGGTTCTAATTGCTCTATGTCTACACTTAATCTCCCTTTCCCCCCTTTTTTAGTATAGTCATCTAGTGGGTAGGAAGTGGTATCATTATGGTTTTCAGTTGTATCTCCCTAATGAGTAATTACATGATGTTGAATATTTCATGTGCTTACTGGCCTTATACACATTTGTGTATCTTTGGAGAAATGGGTAAAACTGATTATTTTTCTTTTCGAGAGAGGGTCTTACTATGTTGCCTAGGCTGTCCTTAAATTCCTGGGCTCAAGCAACCCTTCCACTTCAGCCTTCCGAGTAGCTGGGATTACAGGCGTGTGCCACTGTGCCCAGTCTTTTGCTATTTTAAAATTGGGTTGTCTTTTTATTGTAAAAGTTCTTTATATATTCTGAATATTAGACTCTTATCAGAGATAGGGTTTGCAAGTATTTCTCCCATTCTATGAGACCTGTCACTCACTAGATAGGTCTTTTGATACCCAAAAATTTTAAATCTTGATGAAATCCTATTTGTTTTTTTTCCTTTGGTTGCTTATGCTTTATGTGTCATATCTAAGAAACTATTGTCTAACCCCAGGTCATGAAGATTTATACTTATTTTTTTTATTTCAAAAAAATTTTCAAACCCACAAAAGACTTGACAATGTTTTTTACTAAGCATTTTATTGGCTGGGCACGGTGGTTCATGCCTGTAATCCCAGCACTTTGGGAGGCCGAGGCAGGTGGATCATGAGGTCAGGAGTTTAAGACCAGCCTGGCCAAGATGGTGAAACCCCGTCTCTACTAAAAAATACAAAACTTAGCTGGGCGCAGTGGCAGGCGCCTGTAATCCCAGCTACTCGGGAGGCTGAGGCAGGAGAATTGCTTGAACCTGGGAGGTGGAGTTTGCAGTGAGCTGAGATCGTGCCCCTGTACTCTAGCCTGGGTGACAGAGCAAGACTCTGCCTCAAAAAAAAAAAAAAGTTTTATTATGTTTTCACTTAAATGTAGGCATTTGATCTATTTTGACTTAATATTTGTATATGATATGAGGTTGGTGTCCAACTTCATTCGTTTTGCATATGGATATCCAGTTGTCCAAGTCCCATTTGTTGAAAAGACTGTTCTCCCACTGAATGATTTTGGCAACCTTGTTGAAAATCAATTGACTGTAAATGTAAGGGTTTCTTTTTGGATTCTCAATTCTATTTCATTGATCTACATTTGTATTCTTATGCCTGCACCATACTGTCCTGATTACTGTAGTTTTGTAGTGAGTTTTAAAATTGGGAAGTGTGAGTCCTCCAATTTGCTTTTTTTTTTTTTTTTTGAGAAAGGGTCTCACTCTGTCACCCAGGCTAGAGTACAGTGGTGAGATCACAGCTCACTGCAGCCTCAACTTCCCAGGCTCAGGTGATCTCTCCACCTCAACCTCCTGAGTAGCTGGGACTATATAGGCACATGCCACCATGCCTGGCTAATGTTCTGTATTTTTCTGCAGAGACAGGGTTTCACTATCTTGCCCAGGCTGGCCAACTATGTTCTTTTTCAACACTGTTTTGGCTATTCTGGGTCCCTTGCAATTTCTTATGCATTTTAGGATCACTTATCAATTTCTGCAAAAAAAAAAAAAAAAAAAAAGTAGTTAAAATTTTGATGGGATGACATTGAATCTCTAGACCACTATGGGGACTATAGGCATCTCAATAATACTAAATCTTCCAGTCCATGGACACAGATTTATCTGGGTCTTTTTTCTTTTTACTTAGGCGTTCTTTAATTTCTTTCAAAAATGTTTTGTAGTTTTCAGCATACTAGTCTGGCACTCATTTTGTCAAATTTATTCCTAAATATTTCATTCTTGTTGATGCTATCGTACATGGAATTGTTTTCTTAATTTCATTTTCAGGTTTTTCATTGCTAGCGTATAGGAATACAATAGATTTTTGTGTATTGCTCTTGTATCCTGCAACCTTGCAGAAATCATTAGTTCTAATAGTTTTTTTAATGGATTCCTTAAAATTTTATGTGTGCAAACATGTCATACACATAGTTTTACTTCTTCCTTTCTGGATTCCTTTTATTTCATTCTCTTGGATGACTGCCTGGATAGAACCTCCAGGACTGATAACTCTTCTAATTTGTAGGAGTATTTTTTTTAAAAAAGCATTTATTTATTGAAGCAACTGGATCATTTGTGGTGTAGAAATTTCCACATTTTAGATTTGGCTGGTTGCTTCATTAGCCCCTCTCTACTCTCTTGATGGGATTGATATTATAATGAAATATTACACATGAAGGCCAGAATCTTCCTGAGCCAGGTTTTGCCTGGGATTGTCATTTTGCGACCTCTGTGTTGACAAGGACTTTGCCCAGGAACAAGGCGGACGTCCTCTCTTTCCCTAGAACAGGTGTGGTCCCATCCATGGGGACTCTAAAGTGGGAGTGGGAAGCCAGAGGCCTGAGAGAGCTCCTCCTCAAGGCTGTATTAGGGACCCAGACGGGGCTGAGGATCTTTGTTTTTCTGGCAGCTGGAGCAGTTCAAGAAGGACAACGAGGACACAGGCTTCGGCTCAGGCACCCGGGCCCTGGAGCAAGCCCTGGAGAAGACGAGAGCCAACATCAAGTGGGTGAAGGAGAACAAGGAGGTGGTGCTCCAGTGGTTCACAGAAAACAGCAAATAGTCCCCGGCCCTTAAAGTCACCCGGCCCCCATGCAAGGTGCCCACATGTGTCCATCCCAGCGGCTGGTGGCAGGGCCTCCATTCCTGGAGCCCGAGGCACCAGTGTCCTCCCCTCAAGGACAAAGTCTCCAGCCTACGTTCTCTCTGCCTGTGAGCCAGTCTAGTTCCTGATGACCAGGTTGACTGAGCACCTCCCGGCCCCTGCCTCTCATGCCAACTCCGCCCTAGGCCTGGCATGGCGCCTGTCGCCCAGGGCCCTGGGGCTGATCTCAGGGAAGCCCAGCTCCAGGGCCAGATGAGCAGAAGCTCTCGATGGACAATGGACGGCCTTGCGGGGGACCGCCCTGTACCCTCTTTCACCTTTCCCTAAGGACCCCAAATCTGAGGAATCAACAGGGCAGCAGATCTGTATATTTTTTTTTCTAAGAGAAAATGTAAATAAAGGATTTCTAGATGAGTGAGACTCATTACTAAACTAAAGCAGGAGTGGGTCAGCACAGTGGCTGGGGAGGCTGGGTGGAGGGAAGCTGGGTGCATGCGGAGCATCGTGGAGCCTGGGACTCCAGAGCACAGGAGGGGAGACGCGCCCAGCTTGCTGGCCCTTCCTGCAGGTGCCCTGCACCTATGCCTCCGTGTCTGCCTGCAGGACTCTGGGCTCTATCGACTGAGCTAGCTGGGCAGTTTGCAGGTCTCCTTTTATCCCTATTCTGATGGCAGCTGGAGATGCTGGGTGGTGGGGAGGCATCACAAGGTGGAGGGTGGGCAGCTGTGGACCCAGTGCTCCCACAGTGATTGGTGAGAGGGGCCCTGGCAGAGCACAGGGAGTACTCTTCAGGAAGCACCCTTCTTAACATGAGGCAAGGGTGCAGGGTGCTGTGCCCCTCTTCCTGCCCCATAGGAACACCTGGGACAATGTGGGACAGTTCTGTGCAGTGGAGGCAGCAAGCGCAGGGTCCCAGACCTGGTGCCACTCTTCACTGGCCAAGGGCACGCCCCACAGTCTTCCGTGGTGGAAGGGTGGAGTGGGGTGCGGGTACCAATGCATAAAGAGGTTGTTTTCTAGAGCAGCACACAGGGAAGGGCTGGGCTGAGGAGCAGGCAAGCCATGGGGTGGGGACAGCTTTGCCAGGCTCATAAAGTGGGGGCTGTGCCCTCCACATCGCCTGGGGCAGAGGATGGTCAGGGCCAACTCTGAGAAGGTCTGGGACCTGCACAGCTCCACGCATACATTGGCCCTGGTGGGCATTTCTTGACAAATGGAGCCAGACTGTGGCAGGCTCCCCTCTGCCCCGCAAGTCCCATTTGAACATTCAAGGCTGAGGGGAGGGGGAGAAGGCAGGAACAGCCATAGGGGTCCTTAGGAGTCAGCTCCAACAGACACCCATGGCCAGCTCTGCAGGCTGGAATCCTGGAGTCCAGCAGGTCTGGTTTCAGTTTCTTAGACAAGGGACCTACATGCCCAAGCCTCAGTCTCATCTGCACAACGAGGCAGTGTCAGAGCTGTTAGGCTGGCGTGTGGATTGAAGGAGATACATGTACTTAGCAAATGGCCTGACACATAAGGAGAGCTGGGTTTTATTATCACCCTTGACCCTGTCTCCTGGCTCTAGCCCCACCAGCCTCTTCCCCCTTGTGAGAAGCAGGCAGGCCTGGGGCCAGGAAGGTCCCCCATCCCCCACCACCATCCGCACATCAAAGAGTAGGGCTGGCTAAGCCGGGAGGCCAGCCCCGGTGATGGGGCACTGTCCCTCCACCAGCCAGGAGGCTCCCTGGGCCGCCCCAGATTAAGCTCCACCAGTCACTTTGGGCCAACCCTTCCTGTCGCCAGTACCCAGGGGCTGTGGCTAGCACTTGACCTTCTGGGGTCCAGCTGTGGGAGGGGCCAGCCTCACCATCTTGAGTTTCTATTGGGCTCCAGGTTCCCCGGACATTGCAGAGGAGAGAGCTGGCCTGCCAGGGAGAAGAGTTTATGCACATTATTTCATTTAGTTCTCAACTGTACCATGAGATAAGGAACATCTTTATCTCAACTTTACAGATAAGAAAACTGCGGGGCAAGGAGATGAAGTTACAACTCAGTAGAACTGAAATGGAACCGCTGTCTGGCTTTACTCCCTGCACAGAAGTGGAAGCCGGTTCTCCATCTGGAGCGGGGATGGAGTGCCTGAGGTCTATAATGCCGTGCTTGTGCCGTTACTGGAAAGGGGTCTAGATCCAGACCCCAAGAGAGGGTCCTTGGAGCTCATGCAAGAAAGAATTCGGGCAAGTCCATAAAGTGAAAGCAAGTTATTAAGAAAGGAAAGGAATCAAAGAATGGCTACTCCACAGGCAGGGCAGCGGCATCGGCTGCTCAACTGAGTAAACTGAAGAGTTATTTCTGAATTTTGTTTCTGTTTTTGTTTTTGGTTTTTTTTTGAGACAGAGTTTCGTTCTTGTTGCCTAGGCTGGAGTGCAATGATGCAATCTCGGTTCACCACAACCTCTGCCTCCTAGGTTCAAGCGATTCTCCTGCCTCAGCCTCCCAAGTAGCTGGGATTACAGGCATGCACCACCATGCCCGGTTAATTCTGTATTTTTATTAGAGATGGGGTTTCTCGACCCCAGGAGATCCGCCCATCTCAGTCTCCCAAACCACTGGGATTACAGGCGTGAGCCACTGTGCCCAGCCTTATTTCTTGATTATATGCTAAATGAGGGGTGGATTTTTCATGAGTTTTTTGGGAAAGAAGTGGGGATTTCCTAGAACTGAGGGTTTCTCCCCTTTTTAGACCACACAGGGTAACTTCTGGATATTGCCGTGGCATTTGTGAACTGTCATATGCTGGTGGGAGTGTCTTTTAGCAGCTAATGTATTATAATCAGCACATAATGAGCAGTGAAGATGACCACAGGTCACCTTTGTCACCATCTTGGTTTTGGCAGGTTTTGGCAGGTTTCTCTACTACACGCTGTTTTATCAGCAAGGTCTTTGTGACCTGTATCTTATGCCGATCTCCTGTCTCATCCTATGACCAAGAATGCCTAACCTCCTAGGAATGCAGCCCAGCAGGTCTCAATCTCATTTTACCCAGCCCCTATTCAAGATGGAATCGCTCTGTTTCAAACACTTATGACGGTGCCACCTGGCAGTGTACAATGCTGGCACTCATCAGGCCCTCCAAGGCTGATCCTGGAATGCAGTGAGGATACACAGAGCCAGAGCAATGCCTGCAGAGCCTTGGTCAAGGCCAAAGAGCAGGAACCAACTAGAACTCTGGTGGCTGATTCCCTGCCCAGCGCTCTTATCTGCCAGGGAGATGAGCCCTCAGCATCAAGTCCAGCAGGAATGGAAGGTGCTGAGGCTCTGCAAGAAGCAGCCCTGGTGGCTCCTCTGACCCAGCTTTTTGAGACTGTGGAATCAGCACAGCTAAGGCAATCTTTCCTTTTCTTTTTCTTTTTTTTTCTTTTTTGAGACAAAGTCTCACTCTGTCGCCTAGGCTTGCAGTGGCACGACCTCAGCTCACTGCAACCTCCACCTCCTGGGCTCAAGCTATTTTCCCACCTCAGCATCTTGAGTAGCTGGGATTACAGGTGCTCGCCACCATACCAGGCTAATTTTTTGTATTTTTAGTAGAGACGGGGCAGGGCTGGTCTCGAATTCCTGACCTCAGGTGATCTGCCTGCTGGGATTATAGAAGTAAGCCACTGCGCCTGGCCTCATTTTCCCTCCCTCCCTTTCTTTCTTTCTTTTTTTTTTTTTTTAAAGGTGGGGTCTTTCTATGTTGCCCAGGCTGGCCTTAAACTCCTGGCCTCAAGCAAACTTTCCACCTCACCCTCCCAAAGTGCTGGGTTTACAGGTGTGAACCACTGTGCCCAACAAATTTGAAGTTTGCTTTTTGTTCGTTTGTATGTTTATAGAGGTGGGGTAGCACTCTGTTAACCCAGGCTGCAGTGCAGTGGTACGATCACAGCTCATTGGAGCCTCATCCTCTTGGGCTCAAGCAATCTTCCTGTCTCAGTTCTCGTAGCTGGGACTATAGGCACACACCACCACACCTGGATAATTTTAAAATTTTTTGTAGAGGCAGCTCCCTGCTATGTTGCCCAGACTGGTCTCCAACTCTTGGCTGTAAGGTATCTTCCTGCCTTGGCCTCCCTAAGTGCTGGTATTACAGGCATGAGCCACCGCACCTGGCCCTGAGAGAACCTTTCAGCACAGTTCTGGACGTGGGCCAAGCATTTCACTTCTCCTAGCTTCAGTTACCCATATGAAAAACTGAATGTTCTCTCCATTGCAGGGTCATTGAAAGGCCTGGGTGAGGTACTCAGCAAGTGTTCAGTCTCTTATAGACAGTGACTGGGGTTCCCAGGAAGAAGGTGTGGGGGGACCAGTCATCCCAGGCAGGGTACAAGCATCAGTCCCTCTCCCTCCCCTGCCAGGCACTTAGCAGAGAGGTACAGCCCAGAGCAGCATGCCTGGGATGGAGCCATGGACGGACAGATGGACTGGAGACAGTAAGGGTCTGCTGCTCTGAGATGCAGGGCTGAGCCTTCGCTCCCAGAGTGGGAGGACAGGCATGGGGATATTCGCCGGAGTCCACCTGGACCCAGCTCCCCTCACTCCAGCAGCATCTAGGACGGCCCAGGCAACCCCAGTTGGGCATCCGCACATGCTCCCTTGGCTGGGGCCATGGGGCCTCTTGCCTCTGCTCGCCATAGAGGCCCATGCTGAGGAGAACTGAAGAACGAGGCTTCCAAGTTCCAGAAGATGCTTATCTCTGGCTGCTGCTGGTGAAGGCCAGAACTCTCCTGGGCTCCACTCAAGCCCTCACAGGGCCTCAGAGTTAGAGAAACATGGCCAGGGAGGACCTCCCTCTGCCGCCACAAGGACTAACTCCAGATAGGTGGGAGCCAAAGAAAGGAGACAGGGTTGTTGTTTAGTTCTGCCTTCAGTGCAGATGCTAAGAGACCGTGGAGCCAGGACCTTGGGTCTTCTTGGGAGGAGAGAGCACTGGACTAGGAGTGATGAGCCTAATGTCCACACCTAACTGGAGGCGAAGAATATTCATGGTTCGCAACCTGGCTGGGCTTCAGAATCCCCTGGAGAGGATCTTGTTAAAACCTAGGAACCTGAGACTTTACCCTGGGAATCTAACTCACTGAATCATGCTCTCAGAGGACGATCCCGGAACCAGATGGCACAGCACGCTGCCAGTTTTGGGAACCACTAGACTAGGTTATCTTAGGTAATGTGACTCTACTTAGTACTTTTTTTTTCTTTTTTCGGAGACAGAGTCTCGCTCTGTCACCCAGGCTTAGGCTGGAGTGCAGTGGCACAATCTTGGCTCACTGAAGCCTCCGCCTCCCGGGTTCAAGTGATTCTCCTGCCTCAGCCTCCCTAGTAGTTGGGATTACAGGCACCTGCCACCATGCCCGGCTAATTTTTGTATTTTTAATAGAGATGGGGTTTCGCTGTGTTGGCCAGGCTGGTCTCGAACTCCTGACCTCAAGTGATCGCCCCACCTTTGCATCCCAAAGTGCTGGGATTACAGGCATGAGACACCACGCCTGGCCTCAGTACTCATTTTATTGAGCACTTACTATGTGGCAAGTATTAAAACCCTGAGAGGTAGGGTCTATTATGTCTCCACTTCACAGTTGAATAAACTGAGGCTCAGGGAGGTTTCAAAGGATGCCTGTCAGTCTCACTTGGTTACACGGCAAGTAAGAGCCGAGTAGAATGCGCAACCTGCTGTGTCTCTGCTCTAAGCTTGCCTGGATTTTTCCTCATCCTTCCAGCTGTGGCTGACAGCCCCTCGGGACAGCAGGGCCCTAAGGGCAGAACCAGAGCACTTCTGGAAGGTTAAAGGAAGAAGGTACCTCAGCACCACCCAAGATAGTTCCTCCTTTAGGAACTGTGAAAACTCAGAGTGACTTGCCCGATGCCACAGGGCACGTCAGAGGCAACAGGCAACCTTGCAGAATGACAGGGGAAAGCCTTGTACGTCAAGAGCCCAGGCCCAGGAAATCAGGCAGCTCACGCTCTGTGCTGCCTCTCCCCTTCTCTCAAGCTGGACTGTTGCAATGGCCTCCTGCCTGGTTCCATTTCTATGAAGTGGCCGAAGGGACAGAGAGCAGCCTTCTTACCAGCTCACCCCCAATTCCCAACCCTCAGTGCTGCCCATCACTCAGGAAACGGAGGCCAAAACCTCATCAACCACCACGTGGAACTCCCCCGTCTTGCCTCCAAGCCCCTTTCTGGCTCTGTTTGCCACTTTTCTCTGTCAACTCTAGACACTAGATGCTTCTGTTTCAACTTGGCTCATGCTGTTGCTCCTGCCTGGACCTCTCCTCCCTCACTCCTCTTGGCAAACTCCTGCATATCCTTTAACACCCAGCTCTAAGGTCACCTCTCCTGCAACTCTCTCCTCCCTGAGTCAGCAGATACAGAAGGAAGTTACCACCACCACTGGCTCCCATGCCCACAGGAGCCTTTACTAATGGATCTTGGCGTCCTTTTCCCAAGATCCTGGCAGTGCCTCTTACTCTTAAGACACTGCAATCAAGGCAGCAGGACTAAGGAATCAGGTAACTCAAGAATGAGATGGTACTGCCAACCTCGCCTCCCACCAGGCTACTGCATCCTGGTCCCTAAGCACCTCACACAAATCCCCATCCTTGTGTTTAGGACCTGGGCTTTGATCATTTATTTCCCTGTAATTCACATTAGTTGGGGAATATTTACTCTCTGGCACCTAACACATGGTGTTACGGGCTGAACTGTGTCCCCATAAAATTCCCGTATGGCTGAGTGCAGTGGCTCATGCCTATAATACCAGCACTTTGGGAGGCCAAGGCAGCTGAACTGTGTTCTCATAAAATTCCTATGTTTGGCTGGGTGTGGTGGCTCACGCCTGTAATCCCAGCACTTTGGGATGCCGTGGCGGGTGGACCATTGGAGGTCAGGGGTTCAAGACCAGCCTAGCCAACATGGGGAAACCCCATCTCTATTAAAAATACAAAAATTAGCCGGGCATGGTGGCAGGCACCTAGGCCAGTTACTAGGGAAACTGAGGCAGGAGAATCACTTGAGAATCGCCTGCCTCAAGTGGCTCAAGTGATTCTCCTGAAGTTGCAGTGAGGCAGAAGTTGCAGTGAGCTGAGATCATGCCACTGCACCCCGCCTAGGTGACAGAGTGAGACTCCATCTCAAAAAAAAGAAAGAAAAAAAATTTCCTATGTTGGGCTGGGTGCAGTGGCTCACACCTGTAATCCCAGCACTTTGGGAAGCTGAGACAGGTGGATCGCTTGAGGTCAGGAGTTCCAGACCAGCCTGGCCAACATGGTGAAACCCCATCTCTACTGAAAATACAAAAATTAGCCGGGCATGGTGGCAGGCATCTGTAATCCCAGCTACTCAGGAGGCTAAGGCAGGAGAATCACTTGAACCTGGGAGGCAGAGGTTGCAGTGTGCCGAGACTGCACCATTGCACTCCAGCCTGGGCAACAGAGCAGGACTCTGTCTAAAAAAAAAAAAAAAAAAAAAAAAAAATTTATTATGTTTAAGCCCTGACATTCAATATTTCGGAATGTAACTGTATGACTGTGTTAGGAGAAAGATCCCTAAAAGAGTAAATACAGTTAAATGGGTCCCTTAGGGTAGGTCCTCATCCAACGTGACTAGTGCCCTTATAAGAAATCAGGACACAGACAATAGAGTCAGATGTGTGACTGTGTGGGGGCTCAATGAACAGGCAAGCCACAGAGAGAGGCCCCAGAAGCCACCAAACCTGCCTACACCTTGATCTTGAACTTCTAGCCTCCAGAATTGTGAGAAAATAAATTTGCGTTGTTTAAGCCACCCAGTCTGTGGTGGTTTTTTTTTTTTTAAGTTTTTTGTAGGGACGGGGTCTTGCTATGTTGTCCAGGCTGGTATCGAATTCCTGGCCTCAAGGGATCTTCCCGCCTCAGGCTCTCAAACTGCTGGGATTACAGGCATAAGCCACTGCACCCAGCCCATGGCATTCTAGTATGGCAGCCCTCGCAAACTAATACACTGGGCCTAGCACATAGGAACCACTCCTAGCATTCTTTGAAGAAAATTTAATGTCATTGTGAAAGAGCCCTAAATCACAGGTCTCTGGGACTGTGGTCTCCCCATTTGGGGGTCCTGTCTGTCTGTCCACAGCTGCATGCGCCTACCCCACCAGTCACCAGGAATGTTCCCAGAACACAAAAGGGCAGTGGTGATGTGGCTGGGGCAAGTGGGCAGGCCCAAGTTCAGCCCACCTGTGCTACCTTGCACAGCAAGCCAGGTGGAGCTTTTGGCCCTGGAGCACCAGCGCAATAAATATGGTCAAACTGACAAATGAGGGCCCACACATATCTTAGCAGGCCTGGATTCGGGAAGGAAGGAGCAGCAGAACTTGTTCCCCACAGAAGGAAAACATGTTTCCTTTTCCAGAGGCAAGAAAAACCCAGGTTGATGGACAAAAAACAAAACCAAACTAAATTTTTGTTGTGTGTGTGTGTGTTTTTTAAGTACAAAAAATATCAAAGCACACAGGGCTCTGGCCAACTGTCACCAAGAAGCAGAGTATGGGGCCTGCCTCCTACACCCATTCTCCCACCTGTCCCTGCCCAGCTGCCTTTGGGGTAAAGGAGACCTCTTCTTAGAGCAGCTCAGACTGTGCTCTGCAGAGCGCCAGGCATTCTGGGGGTGTCTAGCAGTGGAGGACACTGCCCCCGCCCTGACTCCATCCAGGGAAGATACCCACTATCTATTTCAAACACTGCTTCCCTGAAAGACATCACTTAGAAAAAGGGAGCCTTGGCTAAAGGAAAGCGTGAACAACCACTAAGTAGCAAATGAGGAGGCACCCATGCTACAGGTCTGATTCCTGGATGGAGAGAGGGAAGTCAAAGCCATTCAGTAGAAGATGCCCAGGTGGGCCCCCTCCAGATCTTCTTGCCAAAGTTCAGGGCAGCCACTGAACCGCAGGCCTGAGCTCTGGGGAGGGCTTGCTTCACTGAGCTGGAAGGCGGCGCCTGGTCCCTGGTCCTCTGAGTTGGGCACCACCTCTGCACTGTGGCTCCAGCACCCCCAAGGGGTCTGAGGCTGAAGTCTCTGGCATGATGGGTAGGGCAGGAGAGATGGAGCTCCCAGCGAAAGACAGGACTCTGGAGACACAGAGAGACCCTGCAAGAGAGGTAAGAGCAGCCTGGTTAGTGGGCTGCTCCCTGATGTCCAGAGATCTTGAATCTGGCTCGTTGCCATGGTGTGGCTGGCAGCATCTAGGCAGCCCTGGTGCAATGGATGCAGCAAAGCCAACTGGTTAAGAGCACTGGCTTAGGATACACTCTGCTAAGGCTTAAATCCCAGTTCTGCTACTCACTAGCAATGAGAACTCAGGTAGCTCTTTTTGTCTCAGTTTTCTCACGTGTAAACTAGGGAAGCTGATAATACCTACTTCCCATGGTCATTACTGGGGCTGAATAATACATGTAAGGTGCCAAGAATGATGATGGGCACACAGAAAGTGTTCAACAAATTTTGGTTAATAGATTTTTTATGGACCATGAGTCATTCATGAGCCTCATGAATGAATGAAGCTTGAAGAAAACTTGAAATCACCCGCTCCAGGCCCATGCACTGGGGAAAAGGTGCCCTTACCCTGGGACTTCCTTCCCCCACTGCACTCTTAATAGCACTTGAAGCCAGTAAGCCACCCTGCTACCTTCCACCCTCTGAGCAAGTCGGCGGGCTCCCCCTCTTTCCCATGGCTGTGAAGACTGCTTGTGGTGACTGTGGAGGTGGCCTTAACTTCCCAGGGTCCAACCTCTTCTCCCAAGGAGCCGGGGGTTCTTTCCATTCTCCCCTCCATTAGATAATCCTGGAGTAGATAAGCTGGGATCGAAAACGTATGAGATTCTCTGCAGACTGGAGGCTGGGCAACACAGCAAGAGCCTCCACACATACCTGGTACACTGCGGCCAGCTCCAGGGTTGCTGGGGGCGTCGTCCAGGGCACTGGCGGGTTCCGGGGCTCTGGGGACGACTGCGTCCAGGGACAGCTTTGGGGTGGCGTCCAAAGAGACGCGTCGGAGGTTGTCCCTTGGGACGAATACGGAGGCGACTGTATCTTGGGGCAGTAAGGGGGTGTCGCCCAGGGATCCGTGTCGTGGACCCCCCTTCCCAGGCGCTCGGGTGCGGCTCGGGCTCCGGGGCAGGAGGACGGGGACCCCCAGGACGCCTCGGCGAGGACGGCGGAGACAAGGCCTGTCCCGCGCCCCTGCCCATCCGCCTGCGTCTGCGCCTGCGCGGGGCCGCCGTTGGGGCACAGCGGGCAGCCTCGAGGGGACCCCGCGTCCCCGCGCTGCCTGCGCCGGTACTGCAGACTCTCCTCGCTGAGGCCCAGCACGGCCGATAGGTGGCCGATGTAGCGGATGGCAAGGCGCAGCGTCTCGATCTTGGTCAGGCTCTGGCCGGCGGGCGCCAAGGAGGGAGGCAGAAAGCGGCGCAACTCGTGCAGTGCGCTGGCCAGCGTGCGCATGCGCAGTTTCTCCCGCTCGCTGGCGCTCTGCCGCTGTCCGCCCGCTGGCCCGCTGCGCGCTCGTCTGAGCGTCGTCGCGGGTGCTTCTGCGGCTCGGGAGCTGCAGCCCGCAGGCGCTGGCTGCGGGAGTCCGCGGGCGCCGTCGCAGGGGCACGAACCCGACGAATCCGAGGAGGAGGCCGGAGACGTGGAGTCTGAGTGGCCGGCCCAGCCCCAGCCCTGGGCGAAGATCCAGTGGTCGTGGCCAAGGAGGCTCTGCGGAGGAGGCGACTGGGCCATGGCCGGGCTGCAGGCTCTGGGAGGCTGGGCTAGCCACCTCCAGGCTTGAGCTTTTATGTTGCCCAAAGGTGTGAGGTGGCCCCCCGCCAGGTTACAGAGAGGTGTCAAAACCCACAGAGCCCAGGGAAGGTCTGGGCAGGGGGCCCCTGGGAAAGCGGGCCCATTTGCGGAGGTGTGGATTCTGACTCCTTGGGAGCTCTAAATGGAGGCCCCTGCAGCCCGGGAAGTATGGGAGGAACAATTCGCATCTGGATGGAGCTGCTAAGCTTCTCACCATGCTCCCACCCACGCCCCCGCCCCGTCCACTGCTCACGGTGAGTGCCCGGGAGCCCGGCAGTGGCGGGTAGTGCCATGGTCTGTGGGTGCCTCAGGGACCCCGTGAGGAGTGGGTGCCTCTCTTATCACTAACCTCCCGGAGGTCTGTGCCCAGGACGCGGTGCCTACTGTTGTATTAAATAAGGCATCAAGACAAGCCCGGAGGGCCCTACCCATGGTGACTGAGGCAGAAGTGCAGGTGGGCCCTTCTGGGGTCCCCAAAATCCACAGTTTCTGATTTGTTGAGTGACACCAAGAAAGGCATCTCACTGCCTATGGTCTGTTTCTGGTCTTGAGAAATGGAATAGGTCAAGTGGGGGAAGAAGAGTTGTACCCTAGGTGATGGAAACCTGCAAAGGTCGGTCCCCAAGCCAACCTCTTTATTGGCTGTGACCTTGGTTAAGTTATTTAGCTCCTCTGAGCCTCAGATTCCCTCATCGGTACCAATAGTGATACAAAATACTTTTGTCTAGGATGGTTCCTGGACTAAATACAACAATCCCTGTAAAACACTTAGGCCCTGGCAAGTGAGCTGAAGGTTTGCCATGATCGTTTTATAAAGAAGGTACTGGCCAGGTGTGGTAGCTCACACCTGTAATCCCAGCACTTTGGGAAGCCAAGGAGGGGTGGATCACCTGAGGTCATGAGTTCGAGACCAGCCTGGCCAATATGGTAAAACCCCTGTCTCTACTAAAAATACAAAAACCAGCCGAGTGTGGTGGCAAGCGCTTGTAATCCTAGCTACTCAGGAGGCTGAGGCAAGAGAATTGCTTGAACCCAGGAGGTGGAGGTTGCAGTGAGCCGAGATCGTGCCACTCCACTCCAGCCTGAGTGACAGAGCAAGACTGTGTCTCAAAAATAAATAAATAAATAAATAAATAAAATGAAAAGAAGGTACTTACATTTCAAGGCACTAATGGGCATTATTCATTTAATTCATATTTATTTATTCTTTTTTTTTTTAAACAGACTTGCTCTGTTGTCCAGGCTGGAGTGCAGTGGCACCATCTCAGCTCACCACAACCTCCGCCTCCTGGGTTCAAGCAATTCTTCTGTCTCAGCCTCTCGAGTAGCTGGGACTACAGGTGTGCACCATCATGTCCGGCTAATTTTTGTACTTTTAGTAGAGACAGGTTTTCGCCATGTTAGCCAGGCTGTTCTTAAACTCCTGACCTCCAGTGATCCACCCGCCTTGGCCTCCCAAAGTGCTGGGATTATAGGCGTGAGCCACCACGCCTGGCTGAATTCATATTTATTTAGCAACCACTAAATGTCAAGCACACAGGGTGAATGAGCTAGTCACGGTCTCAGCTCTAATGAGATTTCAGTCTTGTGGGAAAGAAAAGTGAACAGGCCATTGTATAACAGTAGCTGTGTGCCCTTGGGCAGGGCCCTTAACCTGTTTGAGCTTGAGCTTCTGCTCAGTAAAACAGGAATAATGGTAGTATCTACGTGGGACTGTGTGAGGGATAGTTGAGATAGTAAAATTTATAAAGTAAATGATCTTCTTAGCAAGAATTACAGTTTAAAGGAGTTTGTCAATGTCCTGTGTGGTCTTGGGGAAAGGGCTGAGTCCTGAGGCTAAGAGCCAAAAGAAGGCCAGGGACATTAGGGTTCTGGCCACAGAGGTGAAGAAGTCACAGCTGGGCCTTGAACTATGCATAGGATTTGAGTAGGGAGAGAGGCAGGTACAGTGCATTCCAGATGGGAACTGCATAAGCAAAGACCTGGCCTCAGGACCTTCCAAGATGCCTCAGGAGCAGGGCACTGGGGTGGTGATGTGGAAGGCCAGAGCACACCTGGGCTGGGGCCAGGTTAAGGAGTTGGTTTTGGGAGCCATAGGGACTTTTGAGCGGAAGGGTGATACAATTTTAAAAATCATTAGCTAATAACTAACTAAAGATCAACATGACAGTGGTGTTCAAGAAGAGATTAACCTGCAGCAGCCTGAAGTAGCAAATGGCTTTGTAATTATTTAATTATTATTATTATTATTTGTAGAGTTGGGTTTTACCCAGGCTGGTCTTTAACTCCTGGGCTCAAGTGATCTGCCTGCCTCAGCCTCCCAAAATGCTGAGATTACAAGTGTGCGCCACCAGGCCCAGCTGCCTTGTAATATTTTTGTGGCTGATTTTATTTTATTTTATTATTTCTTTTATTTTTGAGACAGGGTCTGTCGCCCAGGTTGGAGTGCAGTGGCAGCTCACTGCAACCTCCACCTCCCAGGCTCAAGGAATCCTCCTGCTTCAGCCTTCTGAGTAGCTGGGACCACAGGTGCGTGCCACCATGCCTGGCTAATTTTTGTATTTTTAGTAGAGATGGGGTTTCGCTATATTGGCCAGGCTGGTCCGAACTCCTGGCCTCAAGTGATCTGCCCGCCTCGGCCTCCCAAAATGTTGTTATTACAGGCATGAGCCATTGTGCCCAGGCTTTATTTATTTTTAGAGGCAGGGTCTCACTCTGTTGCCCAGGCTGGAGTGCAGTGATGCGATCATAGCTCACTGTACCCTAAAACTGTGTTCAGGCCGGGCGCGGTGGCTCAAGCCTGTAATCCCAGCACTTTGGGAGGCCGAGACGGGCGGATCACGAGGTCAGGAGATCGAGACCATCCTGGCTAACACAATGAAACCCCGTCTCCACTAAAAATACAAAAAAATTAGCCGGGCGTGGTGGCGGCACCTGTAGTCCCAGCTACTCGGGAGGCTGAGGCAGGAGAATGGTGGGAACCCGGGAGGCGGAGCTTGCAGTGAGCCGAGATCGTGCCACTGCACTCCAGCCTGGGCGACAGAGCGAGACTCCACCTCAAAAAAAAAAAAAAAAAAAAAACTGTGTTCAAGTGATCCTCCTGCCTCAGCCTCTCAAGTAGCTGGAACTACAGGCACATACCACTATGACTGGCTAATTTTTTTCTTTCTTTCTTTCTTTCTTTCTTTCTTTCTTTCTTTCTTTCAGGGACATCGTGGCTATTTTCAAAAATTAACTTTTAATTACACAAATTATGTAAACACTACATTTCATTGTGAGAAATGGAAACATAACAGGTAAAGTTGGAGTCTCTTTAACCAACCCCATAAACCCCCAAAAAGTTACAGCTGTTTTTAGGCTGTGTGTGTAGTTCCAGACCTGGCCAGTGGGTTAACATAAACATGTATATCCTTAGCAAACACACAGTAACCCTCCAGTTACATTATGTACATTGTTATGAGTAAATGTCAGCTTGTAATTTGTTTTTCTTCTCTTTCTTTTCTTTTCTTTTTTTTTTTTTTTTTTTTCCATTCAGCAGCATGTTTCAGAGCATTCCATGTCAGGACATATTTTGCTGACTCACCCTTTAAAAAAATAATGCATCAAATTTTTAGTGGAGATAATCCCAGCACTTTGGAAGGCTGAGGTGGGAGGATTGCTTGAGCCCAGGAGTTCAAGACCAGCCTGGGCAATATAGTCATAGTTCAAGACCAGCCTGGGCAACCGTATCTAAGAAAAAAAAAATTAGCCAGGCATGGTGGTGTGGGCCTGTAGTCCCAGCCACTTGGGAGGCTGAGGCAGGAGGATCCACTGAACCCAGGAGTTTGAGGCTGCAGTGAGCTATGATTGCACCACTGTGCACCAGCCTGGCCACAGAGCAACACCCTGTCTCAAAAAAAAAAAAAAAAAAAAAAGGTACTGACTGTGAATACAGATTTAACCAAAACCTTGGTTATAGTTGATCTAAATGTTTTAAATGTTTATCCATTTAAATAATGTTTCTTTCTTTAGACAGGGTTTCACTCTGTCACCCAGGCTGGAGTGCAGTGGGGCAGTCATGGCTCACTGCAGCCTCCACCTTCCAGTCTCAGGTAATCTTCCCACCTCAGCCTCTGAAGTAGATGGGACTACAGATGTGCACCATCACGCCAGCTAAATTTTGTATTTTTTGTAGAGACAGGGTTTCACCGTGTTGCCTAGGCAGGTCTCATACTCCTGGGCTCAAGCAATCCACTCACCTCGGCCTCCCAAAGTGCTGGGATTACAGGTATGAGTCACTGTCCACAGCCCATGTAAATAATTTTAACTTTGGAAAAAAGGTAAAATGGCAGGAGGTACAGATACACCTTCAATAATGGAATTATATCACTTTTTCTCCTCAGAATTTATTTTGAAATATATTGGAGAAAATATGCCCAAGTCACTGCTGTAACATTATGATGAAGTAACACTTGGCATTGAATAACACTGGGTAGACAACTATTGTTCAGTTTATTCTAGCTGCTATGAATAAAGAAGAGAAAATTTTGATTGGTCCATAACATGAAAAGAAGGTGGGATAGATTTCAAACAGGCTTTCTTTGGAAAGAAGCAGTTAGTTATGGGAACATTTCATGACTTAAAAAGGTTTAAACCAAAAAAAAACCAAAAAAACAAAAACAAAAACAAAAAAACCTATTTCCTAAGGGGAGATAAAGGACAACTTGTAAAACATTCACCCCTAGACTTTTTGGGTTGAAATAATGGCACATGTAGTATAGGTACATCATTTATTGGTCCAAGGCCACACATCACTATAAAGCTCTTGACATGCTATCTATCAGGGAACTTAAATGTATGAATTCAACAGTTGTAAACAAAATTCATCAGGCTTCATAGAGATGTCTTGATCTAGGTGCTGCATTTCAGATACAGCAGGTGCTGTTTCTGTTTTTCTATTGGTGTTTTTTTTTGTT